CATTTTTGCAGTTCATGTAATGATGATTCCTTTTTTAATTTTTGTTAGACCGATTGCAATCAGACTGTACAATGAGCCGCAGTCATAAAGCAGTTTATACCTTGGGTTGAATATTCTCGAGTTTCCCCGTTCTGAAGCCGCCATAGCACATGTTGGGTCTGGTCCCCACCGAGGCCAAAGTTCAGACAATGGTAACCGATGAACATGTTCTTCCAGACCTCAGACTGCTCTAGATGCTGGATGAGAGAATCACCGACAAACAGGACCTCCGGTTTCCCCCTCTTTTGTGAGGTAAACATAGTGCTCATGCTACAGAGGAGAAAGAAATGTAGTCATCACAAATATTATTATTGTTTTTTTACATAATTATATACGTTTTCCATTTCATTTCATTTCATTTATTATTTATTTATTTATTCATTTATTGATGTATTGTTTGTTGTTGTTGTTTTTTTTTTTTTTTTTTTTTTTTTTTGGGGGGGGGGGGGGGGGGGGACTATATATTTTTTAAATCTTGATAAAACTTGACTCTTTATCATGCCAAAAAAAAAATCCTTCATTTCTCCAACTGCACAATGTGCTGGGTAAGAGAGGTCACCAACAAACAGTTCCCTCTCCCCTCGTATTAAGGTCAACTCACACATAGAAATCATGCACCAGAGAAGAAAATGTATTCATAACAATTATCATTTCATCCTTTAAAAAAATTGGCTTGCACTCGGTCCCATGCTCGATCCTGTAATTAGAGCAAGTGTGCTGTATAGCACAATATACATTGTATAGCACATTGTACGGAAGCAGCTGTAATACGGAAGTGCCTCCGACACAAGGCAGAGGTCAACATCTTTGTAATGCAGAGCGGAAGTTACACGGTCCATGTGGAATTCAAGCTAAGCTGTATCTCTCTGGTAAGATATTTGCTAATATTTTGTTATTTTAACCTCCGATTTTGAATAGAATTTTAGGATTTAGGAGTAGGAACAGCATAACATTCATTAAGGCCACTGTCCAATATTTGTCTGGTGTGGGAAGGTGTGATCTTGGACACATTTTAGGGTTTGTTTACCTGCCTCTCTCCGCACACATCTATGGGAGCCAGTTGAGGCTCGGTGATATCAATATCATAAAAATATTATCACAGAGTCCATGAGGCTATTAAATCCAGAGTCATGTAAATTATGGTGTTGCCAATTTAATGGGTAGCTATTGCATGGAGAAATTAGTGTACTTCAGATACACTTTTAGTTTTAGACAAGCTTGTTTGCAAAAGCATATTTATTTTCATAGGACAAATAACACTCGAGCGCTAAATGTGGTAAATGTTACTAACAGCCATCCTATAGGGTTGGCATCTCTGCAACAGTGACGCTCGATCTCCGCACCTTTTGCCCAACAACAATGCTACACCCAAATTCAATTTGCGATGCTATTTTACCTTATGCACCTGTCAATTGTATGACCCACCCCATGAACCCCGGGGATGGTGCGTCACTTGTCTAATGTGCGTCGGATTTTACTATACCATGACGAACATATGCGGCAAAACTATGACGAACTTCAGGCTACCAATGACGGTACCTCAGTCAAAATTATGACGCACCAGTTGTTGATTTTGACTGTCATTTTGACGCACATTCGACATCTCATTTCCAGGCACGAGCACTCGTTTGTTGTTGCAATACCGTTCCCCCACCTGCACCGTGCACGGCACAATGTTTTCTGTTTTCTAGTAGACATCTACGATAGATCTACTGGGATGGTGGTGCAGGGCTTTGCCATAAAATGCCCTTGTTTTTATATAATATTCCCTTTTCTGAAATCTATCATTAATACGCTCTAGATCTATTATCAAAATCAAAGTAAAATACAGAATACGTACGGTCAGATTTGTTTCATATTTCTTCAAGTCTTTTTAATGCGCGCGATGGTGATGCACAGCGTACGTCACTTGATCCCACACTCATCACATGGATGAGTTTGTTTCGCTGCACTGCGCAATGTCTGGTTTTTACATACACATTTCAAGGCACGTAAGATGCTGCGAACGTAAAAGCGCATTTAAAACGCCGCTTACTTCAGTCCGATCACTACATATTGAACCCACAGAAAACCAACCGCATGGCGATCTGCGATACATGTGCTTTCCTATGCGAAAAAATTGTCTGTAGCTTGTCGAGTGCTGAGCTGAAAGTTAGTAGTACAAATTTAAGTGCCAATTACAAATCAATTTGAAGATCGTATTATAAGTATGATCGTAAGTAATAGTACTTGCATTGTTACGTGTTACGGTGACCAGCGCATTAATTTCGCTCTTTAATTTGGCAATTGCTTTTACGAAGAAAAATGTACTACCGTTACTGGAAGAAGAAAAACTGAATAATTCTGGGAAAAACGTAATGGTTGGCAGCTCTGCTTAATTGATCTCATTTCTTGTCAAATGTCGAGTTCAATTATCAGAGTAAGATATTCAAACACTCTTTTCCCAAAAGAGATGGTCACAGTGATTAAATTTAGGCACTGATAATACCAAATTATCACTATTATTGTTAGTAACAGCAATATTATCGTCATCAGTGTTACATCCAGATATGAGAAAATAGGGACTGAATGAAGTATCATTTTTCATCAAGATTGCAAATTGATAGGGATATCACATAATTGTTTATCGTCAAAATATCAAGATTACGCAATCCTGAAGAAAATTTACCCACACAACATTTCTGCCGTGACCGTCGGGATTGCAGCTCTCAGATTTCCGATCGAAACGAATCGGCGCTTTGTTTGGACTAGACTTCACGAAGTACACCCACGCTAGCGAGCTTGCGGGCTTCGCTAGCGGCCGTGAATACACTGTACTTTATTCAGTGACGCACCTATGTAAAGTGACTGACATCGACACACCCACCGTCAATATTGTGACTGACCATAGGAGTAAAATGACGGTACCCTGAGTCACACCTTGATGGTAAATGACCCAACCATGACGCACCTTCCCCGGGGTCCATAGGGTGGGTCATACAATTGACACCTGCATTATCCTTGGTTGATACTGATACTGATAGGATCAACACATCATGCATTGACATTAATTAACACAGTGAATTCAAACAAATTTCGGCACCGGCTGTATGTATCATAGCTACAAGTGTCACGCATTAGGCGTGACGTCACGCATTTGGAGGGTCTGAAAACGGCTCTCACGCACGCGCGCGGCGCTAGATTAAAAAAACACCATACCTATACGTGTGTTATACCCTCGCACCGCGCTCGCCGCGCCGAAAAATGAAATGTCACGCATTGCCGATCTTTTACCTTGGCGTCTCTGCTGTATCTAACAAAAACAATTCAAGATTCGCGATTGAACTAAAGTGCAATAATTGCAAGTGGGGTTTAGATTTAGATCTAGACTACAGTTTTACACCCAAGGCCAGTACGTCATTAAACTAGTTTTAAAAAGCGTGTAAGTCAACATCATGAACATGCTTGCTCTCTTCTACAGTAGAACATCTTCCAGGCCACCAACCCCCGCCGCGCCTCCAGCAACCCTAGCTCTGCAAACATTTCCATGAGGAGCCAACCCCAGTCCAGATCCAGGGGAGGGCCACGGACAAGCTCACGTCGCGTCACACACAGCGCTGGGCCGACGCCTTCCAAGTTCCAATTCCACTCGCTCTCACCCGATTGCTAGTACATGTACTCTTGTATGCGATACATGCACACACGTACGCTCGTTCATTCACTCAGCACTTCACATTTTGCTTGCTGTCGACATCGATGTTCGAGCTTGAATTACATCAGGACATCATCAACAAATTTTAATAATAATTACCAAACTCATCCATCTCCCATCTCCTTGAACATCCTCCACCGGGCAAGCTACATCTGCAGGTTGATCCATCGTAAAATGGATTTTTTTAAGTCACAAAATATTTTTTATCGCACAGCTGTTTTGCTTTACAAAATGTACACAGAATGAAGAAGTGATAACTCAAGTATCCAAATATTTCGATACACAGAGCATTTTAGCGTTGTCAATAAACAAACTATTGTGATAACGAAATTTTTAGTGATTGATTGATTGATTGATTGATTGATTGATTTTTTATTCGACAAGCTTCCAACATACAACAATATACAATAATAACAGATCAAAAAAAAGTCAGCTTGAACAGGATAACCCACGAAAGCTCGAGAGCTTATTTCCAGTGGGGTCCCCTTACAGACATGTATAGATCTAAAATTAATAAGTTAAAATAGTAATATTTACAGACAGATAAGAAAATTAAAAGAACTACTTATTAAAGATAATAATAATAATAACAACATTAAACTGATGATAGAATGATATTAAGTACAAGAAGAAAAGAAGAAGGAGGAGAAGAAAAAGAGGAGAAGGAAGAAGAGGAAAATAATGATGAATTTGTAGAATTTCTATAACGTACGAAAACATAAGTATATACAACATGAAAAAGTATGAACCGACAGTGCAGGAACGACGTTTAAGCTATAGTTACCAGAATGATCTGATATGTCATTTTGTATTGGGGGGGGGGGGAGGGTGTTAATGCCCTATACAGATCGAGGTTCCAGGACCTAACAAGTTTTAGAAGAACTTCATAGTCTAGTAGTAGTACCCTTCACCATTTTATAATGATACTAGTTTCATTTGAAGACAACTTTCGCTTTTCAAATCCAGCTTAAATACACTCAACCTAATTCCAAACTTAACCCTTACCCTAAACTTTACCCTATATAGCGATCGTCCACGGTCATATGCACTATTCATGGGGTTATAGACAGGGCTCGGGAGTGGGTGGGGGGGGGGGGGGGGTGTCCGCCTGGAGCCTATTGTCACTACAGTCACTTTAACGGTCTCCTCCGGTAAGAACGGACTCCATAAAAAAAAAAAAAAAAGAAACGTAAATATTCTTAGCAGAATTTATACCCGAAATGAATTACTGGCCAAATTATTGATGGCTTTTTCTTATTTTTTTGCTCAC